CCCCGCCCATAGGCCCGCCCCCGTCCTAGGCCCGCTCCAGGCGCCTGTCCCTCGGGAGACACCGATGGAGGCGAGGGGGCTTTGTACCCCGCTGAAAAGGAAAAGCTCTGGAGCGAAGGGACCCCTGTGGGATGGCTTTGTACGTCCACAGGCCGGTTTCATAGAAAAAAGAAAGGGGCCCCGGGAAATTCCGGTGGTCCCAGCAAGGTCAGTTACAAAGCAGCAAGAGTTAGGATGCGTTCCCCTGCCTCCCCCGGTTCAGCCTTTCCCGCTAACAGGGCTGCTCAGGGCCAGGAGATGCTGCCATCCTGATGAGTCCGCTTGGGGAGTGTTTATGGTTTACAAAGCTTTAGTTGAGTCTGTAGTACAACGCGACACCATCCAAAGCCATGGCTGCGGGCTCGAATCCAAGTCCTGGCGAGCCCACGGGGTTCCCGAGCAGAGCAGCAAACCCTGACTGTGATCTCTGTGGGAGCACACGGCCAGGCCTTTCTTCCACCACCATGCCAACTTAAGTTACTGGTTAACCCTGTAACCCAGCACCCGCTGCCGCCCTGGAGTCCGTTCGGGCTTATTAACAATCCTATAGAACAGTTGGAACTGCCCCACTGAGGTAATTAGATTATATATAACATATTATATATGATAATATAATGCTATGTAATTTTAATGCTTTGCAATTAATATTTATATATGATATACTATGCATCCTCAAAATTTTTAATAAAGCATTATTTTATTTTTAAATGCTAATTTTTATAAACAAATGCATGAGATGACAGAATTTTTTTTTTAAAGAATTTAAGCTTTTAATGATTAAAAAAAGAGAGAGAACTGCCTCATAGGGTTTCCAAGACTAAATCTTTATGGAGGAACTCCCACATTTGTCTCCCACGGTGAGAGTGGTGTATTCAAACTGCCAGCCTTTTGGTTAGTAGTTGAGCACTTAGCCACTGCCTCATCACAGCTCTGACTGCTTTTGGAAAGATTATATTGTTATTCCAATACAGCAAGGAAAACGGAGAGACAGGATCTAACATTTACTGAATATTTGCTGTATGCCTGACACTGTGTTAAGTTCTTTGCACGCAATATTTCCTCTTAACAATAACCCCCAAAATAGTACTTTCTGTTTCCAGCTGCATCTTAACTTGTGCAATGGGGTGTGTTGGGTATTTGAAGATGAGCGAATACATTATTTACAGTTGCTTCCCCAGAGTCCCTAATTCCCCAGGCTGGGTTTTAGAAGGAAAGAAGCCCAAGAAAGGTAAGCCCACCTATCCCTTCAGATATTAATACCCTGCAGAGGGAAGGGTGGATTGTTCACCTATCATTATCTATAATCCTAGAGCAGTGGTTCTCAACCTTTCTAATGCCATGACCCTTTGATACAGTTCCTCATGCTCTGGTGACTCCTGAACCATAAAATTATTATTTTTATTTTTATTGTTTTTAGTTCAAGGACTGTTTGTTGGCTTTTAGGAGTGTTTTCTGCTCGAGTCTGATGGGGTGCCAGTCCTTGGCCCCAAAGCCTATTTTTGGTATTCCCTGGGGACTTTGTTGCTCTGTTCCCCTTGCTGTTCTGTTGCACGCCCTTAGTGTTTTGCCTTGGTATGGTGGGATCCGATCGGGTGGCATTCCCACACTGTGTCTCCAGTATTGTCCCCTGTAGGGCTATGGGTCAGTGAGGGATGTTGTGT